CCCCAAAACCCCAAAACCCCAAAACCCCAACACACTAGATTGTACTATACAATTAAAAAGATCAGTTGTCCCTAACTATTTAGAATAATTCTTAAGTTATATTAGAGGGGATGGAAATATTTCATAAATTGATGGCGTAAGTATCAGCAGTGTCTTCATCTTCAAGATCATTGTCATTGATGTCATCTTTGTCGTCTTTAGAGAAATAAGTTTGCTGTGATTTTATAAAGTGTTGATCATTTTCTTTTTTATGCAATTTTTCAAGTTGGTTTAAGTAGTCCTTACAAGTGATTATCTCATTTGCTCCAGGTACGATTTAGGCATTTAAAGTTTCTTAGAGATTTGCTATTGATACTACCTCATGATGTGATAGCCCTCCAAATACAAATACAAATATTCTGGGGTTTTCAAGGATGTCTTAAGTATCAAACTCTGCTCCAATATTATTTGATGCACCTTTTTTCCTCACATCCTTCACTTTCTTCTGTTGCTTAGGTTTATCAATATAGGGATAATCTTTAGTATCTAAAGTCTAATCATGGATTTATTTAATCAGTTTGCAAATTTTTGGTTCAGTTCTGAGTATTTCGTAATTGCTCTAAGATAGCTTCCTAGCATATTCATTGAATTAATCATTAGTAAGTTCTTCTTGCCTTCTTCTCAAGATTTTTCCGTTTGCAAGGTTTTCATTCAGGTATTCCAAGTTTTACAATATATGACGATGATTCTCATTATCTACTGACTTCAAGAGGGTGTCTTTATCTTTTTTATTTAAGTCATAGCAAGCAAAATATATCATTAAAAGCCTTAAATAGTCTTAATTTTTAAGATTTTTGCTGATCTAACTGACCTACATTACTACATTAGTATTATTAACTTTGACACCTTTAGAATCAAGCCCAGAAATAATATCCTATTCAAGCTAAATTAGTTTCCTTAGATTGTTCTCTTAAAAATCTACAATACCTCTGTTTATCAGTTCCATATGTACTTAGTACTTTTTCATCATCTCTTCATATTTAGGCATAGATCTGATAACTTCAGCCATTTCTTGAAGACTCATATCCTAGGTATTCTTCTGATACTTTTTCTTACTTTCAGATGCTACTTGGGAAACTTCTTCATTTAGTTTTGCATGGACTTCAGCGATATGCTTATTCCTAAATCTAACCCATAATTCATCTTAGTCATTTAAGAATATAGTTTTAGTGTCGTTTATCTACAACTAGCCATCGTCTTGAATATTTTAGAAATCATAGACTATAGACTCATAAAAATAATCATGAACTACAGGGGCTATCAGATCAAATCCTCTATCAAGTATTAAAATGGTACCTCTTGGTTCTCTAATTTTGATATTTCTAGTCTTTTCATAGAAAGTTTTGAGATTATCATTTACTTTTTTAGCCAATGATTTAGCAATAACAGAATCACCCTGATACTACACGTAAGGGAATTCCATAAATATAGCGCAAACAGTAAATAGTCTATGAGCTAGTTCATCGAAGATGCTCTTCATAATAGGCATATCTACTCCCCTATCATTTTCATCTACTATTTTGAAAACAGGAATCAGCTGCTTTTTTTGGAAATGGAATACATTGTCATTGTAAAGATAAAAATCCAAATTAATCTCATTGAAGCTATAAATTCTAGGAGTCAGATTTTTTGTCTAAGAAATAAGTTTTATCAAATCCTCTGAAACATGGCTAGTAAATGCCAGATGTACTCCCCCATATTAAACTTTCTTGGGGTCCATATCTTCTTGGAAATCTTAGATTAATCTGTTAATAGAAGAAGGAGTGGGTGAAATGAAATAGATTGCATCAGATTTAGGAAATCTTTTTCTTTTAACTTCCAATCTCTCAATGTGAAATACATTAGCCTGATAAACATCAAAGAATTTGCAGCATGATGAAAATACTCTAAGAGCTGACTTATCCATGATCAGTATTTGATAATCTTTTGAATACCTTGCATGTCTTTTAGCACTTTCAAGCATATCTGTGAGAATTCTGTACTTAGCATAACTTCTCAATGAAGCCAAAACATCATCAGTGTTCTTTTTACTACTTTTCATTTTTTGACTTTATTATTCTCATATGATTTGATTTTATAGCCTATGGGGTTTTGGGGTTTTGGGGTTTTGGGG